ATAGATTAAAATATACATTGATTTAATTTGTTATTATGAAATTGAAATTTATTTATTATGTCTCAGAGAAAAAGGATCAATAATTAAAAAAGACGATGATTTCTTGCTGCTGCTATTGCAAATTTAAAATAATAATTTAAATACTTGCCATTGTTAAAACGGCTGCAAGGACTCGATAACTATTTTTATATAAAAAAAGAGTTTATTTTAATTCTGGTGAACGCAGATCCATCTGTCTGGGTATCTAACATTGAAATATGTAGAGGTTCAGGCGTCTAGAGGTACAGACTGCATCACGTTTGAGACCTTCGACCGTTATTCTCATATGCAGCATAAAATTTAATTAAAATCTTAATCTTAACGTGATGTTGACACAGTACCAAGTGCATTTTATTTTTATTTTTTTTAATAGCCTACTGTGTCCCACAAAATATTTTATTGAAATGTTATTTTTTTAAATATATTTTTTTTTACATTTCGACATTGCCTGCTCGGAGCTAAGTGCTGTTTCGAGCACATGCTACTACAGTATCAAATACAATGGAAGCGCGTCGCCGAAACTCACAACATCGTAACTTACAAACACAAGTTGCACGTTATGATTTTTTGATATTTTATTGCAATTTTATTCAATGTCCTGCCATCTAGTGGCTATAGCTGGATGACGACAGACGATTAACACCTGTTAACGTTCTCCAAAAAAAGTCGAACATATTGCAGCGGTTTAAACCGCTTTAAAACTCTACACTTTACTTTCGTTTCTTATATCAAAAATCTATTAGGATAAACAGAAAATGGAAAATTTATTAAAATTTAAAAAAATAAGACTTGTTAATATGAAACTCTACTATGCGTAATAAGTAAGTGCGACTATCATTTTTGCTCTCCAAAGTAGAAAATAAGGTACTTTCCATGATTTTCGAGGTTTTGCGCGAGATAATTCACACTACCATAAAGCGAAAATGGCGGACTGAGCTCAAGTATGCGGAACTCAGCTTATTGTTGGCACATCTGACACGCCCATTAAGCACTTCTACTGTTTATTGTTCTGCGCA